ATCTCTCCACAACCTCGCCAGCATTTGTTATTTTCTGTCTTGTTGAACTTTGATACTAGTGCTGGAGCAAGATGGTATCTCATTGTTGTTTTGATTTGCAAATTTGATCATTTTTTAAAACCATATTTTTATTCTAGTTCCACTCTTGGAGGACCAAACCAAGTATGGTAAATGTATTTCATCACCATGTCTAGTCACCAAGCAGTACCTATCTGCAGTCTTGTTTTGAGGAGAATATGAGACTACCAATATACAAAGCAATGCTGTAGTTGATCAGTAATGCCTACAAGAACAAGGCTGAATGGAGTGGTGTCAATCTTGACGTATGCCTTCACTGAGAACATTCAATGGGTGTTCCCACTGTAAGGGGATTCTTTACCTTTTTTTTGTATTTTGCTGCCTTTGTGGGGAGTGCTTCAAGGAACTGATGGGTATTTGAAACTGAGAAGCAGAAGTTTCCAATTTCTCATTACCTCTTTGCCAATGACAAGGCTGCCATGAACAAAACTAGGAGTTTCAGGAAGAACCTGAATATTTTAAATCTTCATTTGGTGAAATTACTTTGAAACACTTTAACTCTGGGTTTGAGATCGCTAATCTCTGACTTTTTTTTTTTTTTTTTGTAGGCAGCACTCAGTATATTTGGCATGGTTGGTGGACCACTTCTGGGCTTGTTTTCTTTGGGCATTTTGGTTCCCTTTGCTAATGCACTTGTAAGTATAAAGAATGAATATGTGTAAAGCTTATTTTCTCAACTATAGTAGCAGCTCTACATTTTTTTTTTTTCTTAACTGTAAAGTTACGGTCCCTTTGACATCTGTAACTAGTGACTTTTCATGATGACTCAAATTATTGATTTTTCCGGGGTATACTGTGAGTACTATGCACTGGCACCCTGCATGTGTGCAGGTAAATGGTAATGGCAAAACAATATAATGCAATTTTCAATACCTGCAATATAATTAAAAGAGCATCATTTTTGTGCATTTATCATTTTCCTTAAAAAATTAATAGCTAGGATTTTAAGGCGATAGACACTGAAGCTGAGGGTTCCTGTTACTAATCAGGGTACAGGAGAGAGAAGCAGTAAGATTTGGCCAGAAATTTTCTACTCATGATATGAATAGGTTGATCTTTTATACCATTTACCATAGAGAAGTTTTCTACTCCTGATATGAAGGGGTTGTATCCTTTCACCATACTTATTCAATATCTACTCTGAGTAAACAATACGAGAAACTGGACTATATGAAGAAGAATGTGGCATCAGGATTGGAGGAAGAATCATTAACAACCTGTGATACACTGACAACATAACTGCTTGCTGAGAGTGAGGAGGACTTGAAACACTTACTGACTGAGATTGAAGAATACAGTCTGCAGTATGGATTACACCTCAATATAAAGAAAACAAAAATCCTCAGAACTGGACAAATAAGCAGCATCACAATAAATGGAGAAAAGATTGAAGTTGTCAAAGACTTCGTATTACTTCGTTCTACAAACAATACCAATGGAAACAGGAGTCAAGATATCAGACAACATATAGCAGTGGGCAAATCAGCTGCAAAAGACCTCTTTCAAGTGTCAAAGAGCAAAGATGTTTCCTTGAGGACTAAGGTGGACCTGACCCGTGCCATGGCATTTTCAATTTCCTCATATGCAGGTGAGAGCTGGGCAATGAATAAGGGAGACCAAAGAGTGGATGCTTTTGAGTTGTGGTGCTGGCGAAGAATGCTGAAAGTACCATGGTCTGCTAAAAGAACTAACAAATCTGTCCTGGAGGAAGTGCAGCTGGAATGCCCCATGGAAGCAAGAATGGCCAGACTTTGTCTCACCTACTTTGGTCATGTTGTAAGAAGAGACCATTCGTTGGAGAAGGATATTGTGCTTGGTAAAGTGGAAGGTCAACAGAAGAGGGGAAGGCCCTCAACAAGATGGATTGACACAGTGGCTATAACAATGGGCTCACATATAGCTGGGATTGTGGAGCTGGCACAGGACCGGTCAGTGTTTCCTTCTGCTGTACATAGGGTTACTAAGTACAGCAGCACCTAACAATAACAACAGCAACAAATATTTAATGTCTATCTCATATATGGGAGCTCTGGTAGCATAGTGGCTAAGACACTTGCCTGCTAACCAGACGGCTGGCAGTTCAAACCCACCATCCACTCCTCGGAAGGAAGGTTGGGCAATCCTACTTCCGTAGTGATACTGCCTCGGAAACCCAAGGAGGTGTCGCTATGAGTTAGGTTTGACTCGACGGCACATAACAACAACAACAACAGTCTCCATTCTAGCTGCATGCCAGAAGCAAAAGTAAATCCTTCCATGAAGAAGGATACGCCACCCAGAGCCTCAATTTATCTCTACAAGTTTTCATATATAATTATCAAGATTATCAAAAAAGAAGCCTAAACAACCAAAAGCCCAGAGGAATACATATTCTAGAAGCAAATATATGTGAATTATTAGTCATGGCCTTTAAAATGTCATTAATGTGTTCAAGAAAGCTGATGGTAAGATGGAGAAAAGGTCTAATGTGTGTAATTTGTCACAGGTAGATAAGCGAGAATAGGTAGTAACAATATTTGTAGACATAATGGCTGAGAATTTTTTAAAATTATTCATAAGTAGAGGATACCATAATAGGTCAAACACTAAAAACAAGCAAGGGTATCGTGAATAGAAAGAAGTGCCCAACAGGGTAACTGTAAGCTAAAAACTCTATTGTAGACAACAAAAGGATTTGGCAAATAATTTAAGTCTCCTGAAAGCAAGAAAATGTTTGTTCCAGAAATAGGTGCTTGAGTGGACAGCAAACAGAGCTCAATCTCATTTTCTGAGTCTCTAGGTCTGTGTAACTGGAAGGATGGTGATGCCATTTAACAGAGGTAAGGAAAAAAAGGTTGACCTGCTTTGGGACATGGTAAATGAGCAGAGCGTGATTTAACTTCCCAAAATAAAGCCATCCTAGCCACTCCTCGGAAGGAAGGTTGGGCAATCCTACTTCCATAGTGATACTGCCTCGAAAACCCAAGGAGGGGTCGCTATGAGTCGGGGCTGACTCGACGGCACATAACAACAACAACAGAACTAAACCAGGGAGCTCTGGTAGCGTAGTGCCTA